ACCTTCCATAGTGGCTCCAAACGCTGGAGAAACATTGAAAAGAACTAGCAAATATTGGCCCGGGGGCCATTTTCGGCCCTCAGAAAGATTCTGTGCGGTTCCCAACCTCAAAGTTTTCATATTGTAGAGCAAGATTTTACATAACATCTTAAAAAACATCTGAGGTACCAAAAACTAGATTCCCATTTATTAATGTTTCTACTTTTGTCATAGCTTTGGAGTAAAACCACAAACATTAACAAACTGTGGGCCTGTCTGTATTATTACGCAGTTTTGACAAATCTTTTTCCGTTTTGTATCTACAATTATTTCAAGTTTTACTGTAGTTTATTACTGAGCAGATAAACTTTAAAAAGGAGCAGAGGGGTTGTTTTAAAGTCTTTTTTGGCCTCCTAAGTGCTTTTGGACCTCATGGCCGGAGGTTTGGCTTTAAGGAGGATCAGCTGAAGGACCCCGGTGTGACGTCTACTTACTTGCCCTTGCTGGCCAGGTTGTCCATGCACGTCTTGATGTACTGGTTGTAGGAATCGATCTGCATGTTGTAGAAGGTGGTTTTTGAATTCAGGCCCGAGTTGGTCTGCTGAAGCTTCACCAGCTCGGCTTTCCTGCGCTGCCGATACCGTCTCTGGTTCCTGATGTCCTGCAGCACACACACACACACACACACACACACATCACATCACATTAACACACACATTTAAACCAGGGTAACAATGTGACCCTGGTATTTAGGTATTTCATTGTAGTTTAGTTTTATTTCATTCTGACTTTTTGTTTCTGTAATCCAGTTAGTTTTAATTTGTTTTTAGAGTGTTTTCTCTCTTTCTACCAAACACTGGAAGTTAAAAATCTTCACTCTGGTGCATTGGTCTCAACTCATCTTTCTCTGATGAAAATTTTGTTTACAGAGACTTCATTATTCATTATATTTGTTTGTTGTTTCTGTTTTTTTATTTTGGATATTTGAGTGTGTTAAATGTTTATTAGAGTTTGTTGATTGATGTAATAATATTTGATGTATTAATATTGACAGGCCTTTTTGCTAGTTTTTATTAGTTAAATGTTGTTTTTCTTTACTAATTATAGTAGTAGTTTTTTTGTTTGTTTTTTCAGATTTTGTTTAATATTAAGATGCAGAGTTCAAAAAGTTTTAAGTATTGTACAGTGATTATGTTTACATTGATTGGGTAATGAATACTCAACCAAATGTATTTATTCAAATATTGTTGAAGAACCAACTGACTGGTGTTTTCTCCCAACGTTTGCTGCCGCCATTTTGGAGACGAAACTTAAGCTGCTTGTGTGGGGGAACAATTTAAATCAATCAAACATCAGTTCAAAAGATCAATAAATAGATTAAAACACTAAAACAAATGATATTGTAGCTATAATTTCAGTAGATTTTTGTCTTATAAAAGCACAATATAGTTTCTCCACCATTTCATTACCATTTTTGTTTATTTCAGAAAACAAAAATGTTTAATTTCAGTTTCCATTATCTTGTCAGGCTGTTTTTTAAACCCCACAGATAAAGCGTTTATTTGTCCAACCTTGGCGATGTCATTGATGAGGTCCTGGTAGCGGTTCTCCGGGTGGACCTTCCCGAGCTCGGCCAGCCGCTGCAGGTTGCTCTTGATCTTGTCCTTTTTGCCCTGCAGGGTCAGGCTGTCGTCCACCACCGGCTTCACCTGCTTCATCTTCTCTGGGGTCTTTGCATCCCTGATGGCTCTCCTCTGCATAGCGCGCTGGTACTCCGCTTCCTGAAAGCACAAAAACAACCTGGTTGCAACTTTTGGGCTTTTAAGGCCTGAAAACACAACGTGCAATAATTGTTAGAAATCTCTGGGATTTGTTCATTCATGAGGGGAAAGATGAAGGGGTACTACAGGAAGGCCTTCCCAGAAGCTGATTTATCCATTTCAGAACCAGGTTAGATGTTTGTTTTGGATTGTTTTCCTGTTGGGACAGAACCGCACAGCATTCTGGGGGATGTAGGCAGAGGAAAGGCTGTAGATGCTCAACCTCTCACAGTCAGGTAAGCTAGGTGGGAGGAACCAACTAACTCAGTCGCTCTTTGGTCACCTAGCAACAACCTGTTGGGTAATTTCTGGTATCCTAGCAACAACCTGTTGAGTAACTTCTGGTATCCTAGCAACAACCTGTTGAGTAACTTCTGGTATCCTAGCAATAACCTGTTGAGTAACTTCTGGTATCCTAGCAACAACCTGTTGAGTAATTTCTGGTCACCTAGCAACAACCTGTTAAATAACTTATGCAGCAGCAGTTTCAGGGTTTGCTACTTTGCCCCAAACTTCTTAAAAATAAAAAACAGCGCAGTGTAATGAAAACTGTGGATAAAATAGGAAGGTTCACGCCACCCGTTTGGCTGTTTTTCAGATATTTAAAACACAAAATTAATCAATAATTATCGATATCGACTGACATAAAACGCTTATATCGTGATACGTTTTTCAGCCATATTGTCCAGCCGTAGTTGCTACTTTGTTTGTAGTTTTAAATTGGACTCCTCCAAATGTACTCATCAATCTATGTCTTACATGGCTACCAAATCTCTAACCTCTGATTGTTCCAGCATCTTCTCGTCCATTGTAGACCCAAGTCTTGGTGGTTCCTAGGTCCTTCATGAACATCCTAAAAATGTTCCGTTTATCTGAGGTCAGTTTGAGTCAGATGTTAAAAATCTGGACAGAGATCCAACTGTAATCATCTAAACCTTTTGGACTTATCTGTTTTGGAACAGAGAAATCAGGCCAACATGATGCTTCTGGAAAGACATTAACATCATCTCCAGTGGTGGGCACTGCTAGCTGGAAAGCTAGTTGTGCTAACCCTAAAGCACTAATCGTAAAGCACTAAACCAACATGGTACTTAGTGGAAGCTTGTTTCTGTACGTTTGTTTGAAATAAAGTTATTGAAGAAAAAAGAGAAAACTTGAGGAAACGGAAAATCTGCGTAAACAGTCTTCACCCCCTTCAAAATAAGAGCATTAATATAAAAGTCTAATTGAATTCTTAATGGTTGACAACTAAAACTTTAACACCGATTTCAGACTTTATTCAACTGAAACTTTAAACAACCAAGTAAATTAGCGTTTTCAAGTTTATCTGAAAGAATTCAGTTATTAAAGTTAAGTGCACTAAACGTTATCAAAGTTAGCAAAAACACGATTGTGCTAAAAGAAAAATTTGCTCATATTGGCTCATTAGCTAAAGTAAATGGCTAGATATTTATGCATTTATTTAACCAGATGTTAGTACAGGTGCTTGAAGAATAATTTGATTTCTGAAGGTCTCTTTTCTTGGACTTTGGCTGATTTCACGGTTTGTTTCCCCAAACTGTGATAACATCCTGTGTGCTTAAAAGCAAAATGAGGAAAGAAGATGCGTCAGTCTGAAAAAAATGACTAGGACTGTGTGGTTAAAAAACAGAAGTTATCAAAACAACAGGAATCGTTCAACACTTCTGCTCAACATAGTGTGGATAAAACTGATTTTATGGTAATTTAAATAGATAAACAGCAGAGCAATCAGGACAACTAATGACTAATGAAGGAATTTCTCTGGGTCTGAAATTTTCAATTTTTCAAAAAGAGGATGTTGCCAAATAGGTGGGAAGTGCAACTCTGTTTGCACTTGATCCGTCACAAAGTGAAGTCAGCATTTGTCTTCAAGCATGTTAAGTTCCCATTTTGTGCCTCAAGGTAATGCTGTAGTTTTCCACTCTAATCAAAGAAAAACATGGCTAAATGCTGGGCGCCCCCTGGTGTCTGTTTGAAGCAATGACTCAAGTCATTAATTTTCAGCACATCCAACCTGCTCTGGAGACGCTGTTGAATCCAGGATCTCAGTCAGAGTCTCTCCAGGCTGGAACCGGATGACATCCACAATCAGCCTCTTGGTGCTGGAAACGACAAAACGAAGATGAAAATGTTTCTGATTACGCTTCAGAAGATCTTCCTGTAGGGGCCAAACTCACTTGAGCAGGAGAGTCTTGGCGTCCATCTCTGTATTGGCCTCACCAGGAACGTCAAACTTGTTGGTGAGCGTGAGTGAGACCTCCGTCTTTCCCATCAGCTCTTTGTTGGGATCGTCTGGAGGAAGGGGATTTTCACCTGACAGACGGATGGAGGGCAGAAACGGTCAGAAACTGCTCTCATCATTAATGTAGCCAAATCATAAAAGTAAAGTGGTGCTCGTTTGATTAAAATAAAAAAAATTCAACATTACGTGAACACAGTATGCTTCCTTGAACTAGTTAGCATATGTCTACAGGCTATACAAAACATGTTCATTACATTGTTTTTTCACAACATCTGTCTTAGATAATGAGGGTTTAGTCTGCTCAGGTCTGCCTACATCGAGCTCCTTTCAGAATAACCTGTTTTAGGGCGTCTTGTCACTTTAAATCCAAATAAGCTGCTGCTGGCCACGCCCCCCAACTAAATGTTTACACTCGCACTTTAAAATGGCTGCAAACAGATGCACAACAATTACACAACCATACATCTTTAAAAAGCAGAAGCGGAGCCTCCTGCACAACCAGCAAGAATGCAGCAAGCGGTTTCTGGATAGTAAATTAGCAACAATACACTCGTCTTTTCCAGCAGCCATTGTACAGTGCATAACGGACTGCCACTCAGCTTGGGTTGTTAGGTAATGAAATGGGCTTCACTAATTTTCCAGACACAAAAAAACATTAACTTATTGCCAAAAACTGGCTGAGTGCTTTATTTGTTTTTGTTTTTTGGTTTGTTTGTTTTTAGAAGCAGTAGAAACCCAAACGGAAGTGCAAAAACATGCAAATGTGAATTTTTGCATAATACGGCTGCTTTAAAAATCTGGTTTGACGAGTCAGTTTAGGGCCAGAAGAGATTAGAGACATTTTAAAATAATCTGGTCATTTTAATCCACTCACCAATAAGAGACTCCACAGTGGGAACGTCCCCCAGGTCCGTGAGCAGCTCATGGATGGGGTCATTGTGTTCAGGTGCAATGGCGTCCTGGTGATCCAGCAGCAGCTAACAGAACACAAAAGATTGCTTGTTTTAATCAAATAATCATGGAATAATCAATCAATTTTAGAACGGGGTGATATAAACTCACAGTGTGAGTGTTTATGATCTCTCCAATGGAGATGTAGATGACAGGTTTGGTGACCGTGACCAAGTCTGAGTACTGGTCCACATTGAATTTATCTTCAAGTGAGGGAACGTCACATGCAGACAAAAAGAAACGCCTGTGAAAGAAGGAGAAAATAATGAGTTTGAAAACAAAAGGAAAAATTTTGGCAGTAATATTCAGAAGTATTAAGATTTCAGACCTGAACTTCTGGTGGGAGGAGCTGAGATATTCGTTGATGGGGTTGAGGTGAGCGTTGTCTCCCAGGAACATCTTGTTGGACGCAGCGTGCTGAAGCATCTTGGCCACAGAACCCAGGTTCCTTCTTTGCTCAGTGGTAAGCTGACCACCAGCAGACACCTCAATAATGTCGAAGGCATCAGGTGCTACAATAGCAGGGTTCATGTAGCGGTAATACAAAAGGTTCCCCACGATCTGCAAAGTTCAAATGGCTCCATCACTTCAACGATGATACTCAGAACAAGTGGTATTAGTGCAAATAATCTTTTTTCCCATTTTACAAGACCTTTAGCATAAATATGAAGGAAGTGGGGATTTAACAGCTCAGTAAATGCTTCAGAGAGATGCAGAAATGTCTAAATGATAAAGAGAGCAGCATGAAAGAAAGCCTAAAGAGGTGGCTTGGCTCACCTTAGTGTCAGCAGAGATAAGGGAGCAGCTGAAAATCGACAGAGAGAAACTGGAGCTGGTTGGAAACGTGGAAGGAAGAGGGCAACACCAGAAGAAGATAAAGGAAAGAGATGTGTAACAAAGAAAGGCAGAACTGGAAGAAAATGGGCATGAAAACTGTTAAATGAGTAAATGGGTTGAGATAATGGGTCAATTAAACACACTTTACGTAAAAATCATTTAAAAACTAATACTCACTGTTGATTACTGTGATAATATCCTTAATTATTGTTACCATATGATGAGCCACGGTTCATCATTATGATTGATGCAAACATTAGCATAAATAGTTAATAAGTGATCAATTACCATAAGATCATCCATAGTTTGTTATGATTAATGCAAACATTAGAATGCCAACAACTGACAAGAGGATTCTAACATCATTCATGGTAAATTGTGATAAATGCCTTCATTAGCATGCTAATGTAAGCCAACAGCTTAAACATCGTCAGTATTGACATTAGCATACCAGCTTCCACAGGGCTATTATGATTAACAGCTCCTAATATACATATAATTATTTTTTATGCTAACAATAGCACGCTAAAATCCAAAGTTAATCATGATCAACTTTAGCATGCTAACTTCCATGGTTAGCTATGTTTAAACATTAGCATAATAACGTCCATAGTTGGTTGTTTATTGCGAACATCAGAATGCTAGGATCCATCATTTTTATTCTGGTTGACATTAGAAGGCCATTAGCTCTAAGTGATTATTAGTGCTAATATCCACAGTTGATTTAGATTAATGTCAACTTTAGCACGGTTAACATCCAAATTTAGTTATTTTGATTAATATTACTTTGCTTTAGTCTACAGTTGATTATTGCAACTGGTAGCCAGTCAACATTTTAAATTGGTCATTATGACCAACATTAACATGCTAATATCCATGTGTGTTGTTATTAGCCTATTATGCTAACATACTCTGTTAATTATTGTCACTGTTGCTGAAATTCATCTGACAACATCAGCTAACCGTAATTAATTCTGACATTGCCGTTTTCCAAAGTTAACTATTTTGATCTGAAATAATTTGTCATGCAGCATAAATAAGTTTTTGTTTTGTGATGCAAACCTTGAGCAGCTCATCCTCCGTAGAATCTGGGAACTTCTCTTGTAGAGTGTCTTTTAGCACCTTGGAGATGAACCGCATTCCATATCTGAGACACAATAGTAACATAAAGTGATGTAAAATTGGAAAATCTGGCTATGCTGGGGGAAAAAAATGTTCAACACATCTTTATTATGATAAATGAGGAACATACGGAATTTTATCCACAGAGACAATTATCGCTGACAGGAATTTATCAGTGATGCTCTTCATGTGCTTGATGGAGGCCTCCAGTCTCGTCCTAACCTCCTCATGAGTCATGGCTTGTTCTGGAGTGACGTCATAAGGCAGCTTACTGTTAACAAGACAAAAAAACAAAGAAAAAACATCAACAAGTTCAACCAGGAAAGGAGGAGTTGGGAAAAAGCTGCAGCAAACTGAACTTATAATTCTTAAAAAAGATTTTCCAGAGCGACTCTTAGAAACAAAATGGTAGAAGCTGTCCATAACTATTGAATCTTCATTTTGAAGTGTTTAGATATGTTTCATATATTTCATGGCAATAAAGACTTCTCAATTGAGAAAGCTATAAAAATGTTTCTTTGAACCACTGATGCAAATAACACACCAAGGAAAATATTTGATCAGTAATCTGTGCAGAAATGTCAGATATCTAAATACCAGGAAATAACCATGGCCCATTAAATAGAAACATCTTCATTTTCTCAAAAGAACGAACAGACAACATAGATAAAATAGAGGAATCAAACATTCAGTGCTCAGTGGTTCTGCTGTGTTTAATCAGAGTGAAGAGAGATAATAAAAACAGAAATGAGTGTCATCAGCATAGAGGGGAAACAACACACTCCATGAGATAACAAGCTAGTATTTTCATCTTGCTTTACTGCATGATGTTTAAGAGGAACTGATATGATAAAGAAGTGCAGCTACACAAGTTAAAATAACTATTTCTAGAATGAACAAGGACTCAAGACGAGTCCCATCTTATGATGCAACCCGACCTCCATCTCACCTCGCTTCTCCAGTCTGCGACTCCATCTGGTTCACCCAGCCTTTGTAGATGTCCACTGGGTCCGTCTTGATGTTTAGCGTTTTGTCGTCCATAATCTCTTTGACCACAGGTGCCAGGATCTGCCTCAGTGCGTTCTGTCCTCGTGCGCCTCTGTGGAAGCTCACCACCATCTTGATTACTGTTGGATTTCCGGTTACAATCTCCTTCATCTGGTCCACTTTTGACCTGCAAACAGTTTAACAACATAGTGAGTTAGTAGATAGTGATGCATGTTGGAATACACAGTGTTGCATTAGCTTAACTATTTGTCTAAACACACACACAAAGGTCTCTTAGGCACTCCTTAAAAGGCAAAGACGAGAGAACTCAGCATTTGTGTATTTCAGTTTTGTAAGTTGGGAAATGGTTACATCAACATTGTTACTGGCATAAACTTGAAAAAAATTACAAGGATTCAGAAACAACTGGAACTGTGACAAACAGGGACAAAGTCTCAAGTATACCTTGCCCCCATCCATTATGAGGGCGTCTCCATGACAATCCTTAGGTGGCAGCTACATGCTAACGGGTTGTTTTGGAGGGATGCCAAGAAAAGGCCTTTTCTGTCTTACCATCACAAACGTAATGACATACAGCTTGCTGCCAGGAAAAACTTACAACTTAGCAAAATTTAGTAAGATTGAGACATTGTTATAAACAGTCACATAATCTGTTGAAAGAAACTCCAGATGTGATGATTCTGAGAAACTCTGGTGAAAATCCAGAGTAAAGCAAGTCGACAAATTGACACAGGTTAGAAAGTTAGACTGGACAAAACTTTTTTTCCCAACAAAATTGGTGCCCAACGTGGGACTTTACCCAACAGTAATAGTCTCAAGCTCTACCAAGCTAACTGGAATGGAGACCATCATATTAACACAGTGCAGAGCAAGTTGGACGTCAAATCTTTCACTACAGATGCAGACGGCATCATAAAGAGAACGCAGCGACCGACTCATAGAGCCTGAGCTGACTCAGTTAGACAGCAGCATTCTTCTCTTGTAAAGCTAATAGCATGAGTTATGATATCAGGACTTTGTTTCTTACTTAATCTCCTCCTGCAGAGCAGTTTTGAAGAGCTTCAGGAGCAGGTACTCCTCCCTCTGGTTTGAGGCGTAGTTATACAGGGTGAAGATGACAGAGTCCATGAACTTTGTAGATTTATTCTGTGGCATCTGGAAGATCAACTTGGCCAAATATGTCGGGTTGGTCTACAACAAATCAGATGGTTAGAGACGTGTTGTCAGGCAGACAGGTGAGTTTGAAACAGGAATTCAGCAACAGACAAATACTGTGAAGGACTGTCACCTGTAAAAGGTAAAAGAGATGCTGATAGGCCTCAAGCTTGACTCTCTTCTCCTTGCTGAGAGCCTTCAGGCCCCCCCTCTGCTTGTTCATCATCATCATGTCGGACAACTGGCCCTTATTCTTCTTGGTCAGCTTCTTGCTGTGGGACACCACCTCCTGAAGGGTGATCTTGTTCTTCACCAGCAGGCCGATCTTGATGTCCATCAGGTTCAAGTCGTTCTCCAGCTGCTGGTTGGAGCGGATGTTTGTGACCACCTCCTCACGGAGCCGCATCAGCTCCAGCTCCTCCTGGAAGTCCTGGTCGCTGTGATCCAGCAGGTGGACAAACTTCCTCACCACCGCCATTGGGGGATTTTCAGCATTGACTGTGGAAAGTTTGCAGAAATGTCACATGACCACTAAACTGAAGAGGCCATGTGACAAAGTGGGTGACCAACTCGGCCAGGCTATCCCACCTTTCATCTCCTACTTACTCAGAGTCTTGTAGTCATCTCTCGCCTTGTTGGCTCTGATGAATGCCTGGATCTTCACCACATCATCAATCTGCAGCGTAAAACATTAATCGGTGAGATTTTAATCCACATTGATTCAGAAAGGAAAGTAACCTTTCTGATGAGTTGAAGTAGGTTAAAGATCTCAAAACATCGAAGAACAATCTAAAGATATTCAGAATCAGATAAAGTAATTGACCGGGGAAGGGTCATTCCTAAGGGATTCCACCAGCTCAAAGAGTGCATCAACAACTCATCCAAGAGGTCAAATAAGACCCAAGAACAACATTTTGGTGTGTTCATGCTTGAAACTCTCCCAGAGTGAATTAATTTAAACAATCGGGGGCGATTACTTTTCATAGTCTCAGGTTGGCGCAAAACCGCGGGTGAACAAGACTCACATGATCTTCAAAGTACTTCAGACGATCTTTATACTTCTTACGAGCTTGATGCATTCGGACCATGGACTGAATCTGAAACAAAGACAAATCTATCAGTTTTTAATGGGGTTTTTTCTACAATCGGGCGACAGATCACTGGAACGTCTTTTCAGTTTTACCTTAATGGCTTCGTCGGTGTGATCTTTCAGGTACTGCTTGCGGTCCAGGAATGCCTTCCTCTGTTTGTAGCCTTTCCAGTGAGCCTGACCAGAAACGTTTGGGAATCAGACGGTCTGATAACACCTGGGTTTAGTCTAGATGTTTTATAACAAATTTCTCACCTGGATGCGCATCACAGCCGGGTCCTGAGACTTCAGGAAGTTCATCCGCTCTTTCAGGCCGTTTCTCACCAGGTAGCCGCGACATCGAGCTTGAAGCTTTGCGATTAGAGTCTCGTTAGCGAGCCAGAGCTGCTCCCGGTTGTAGGCAGTAGTTACCCCCGAAACGACTCCCTGATGGGAGAAAATAAACGGTCAAACAAGGCTTCCCACCTCAGATGAGGCCCACACCTGGCAGAGCCCTACCTGGATCTCCTCCTTGTTGATCTGCGTGTTGTTTGGCTGGAAGCCTTCGGGCTCCACCCATGTGCCCTCCTTGGTCTGCAGGTTGTAGTAGTAGTTGTGTCCACCCTTCACCCAGTGTTTGACCCACTCGCTGCCATTATCACCTGGACAGATGGATTGGGTTCACTTTAATTCATGCAGGTAATCCCAATGAACCATCGGGTCTCAGAGAAGGAAAACAAAGATGAAGCTACAAAAATCCCACTGGTTGCTAAATGTAACAAAATCCATGGAAGATTGTTTTTGACATTTAGGAAGATAATTATGTTTGCAAAAGATAAGGATGGATTTTTAATGGATGTTATGCTGATGTGTGAGGGTGTTGATGATTGGTTCACTGCAAAAACACAAAATCTTACCTAATATTTTTGATCTAGTTTCTAATGCAAATAATCTTAGTTCACTTAAAATAAGACAAACTTATAAGTAACTTTTCAGTAAGCTATCGGAGCTTGTTTTGAGTCAATATTTCCGTAATATTGATGAAAAAGTTCTAGTTTTATTGGCAGATTATTTAACTTATAAGAAAAATGTCTTGTTATAAGTGAAATAGTCTGACAATGGAACCAGAACTTTGACTTAAACAAGCAGCTACAGCTTAAGTTATTTTTGTCTTATTTCAAGTGAACTAAGGAATTTGCACTAAAAGCTAAACCAAAATCACTTTTTCATGTTTTTGCAGTGTAAGTGTCCTTTACTGGTGCAGTAATTAAATAAATTTGTAATTCAGTACATTTATATCTGAGTTTTAAAAAAAAGAAATGTTCTAAGTTAATTCTGCACTGATTTTTCTGCATCAGATATCGGTATCGGAAGTGAAAAACACGGATCGCAGCATCTCTCAAAAAGCTCCTGCTGAAACGCTGCAGGCTGTAAATGAGAAATTCTCCTGTATTTAGTCATAATGACATATTTCTACATGCTGCTGCTTCATTACCTCCAATTAAAGTTCTTGTCTTTCCAGGAAACTTGGACACTCCCTTCTTTGGGTGGTGTTCACTGTTAGCCAACAGCTGCATGCAGGTGTGCATGCAGACCTGCTTGTCAAGGCTCAAACTGAACTGTTTGTTTCTGAGTTCAACCCATTGTCTCATTCTCAGATCATTCTGTTCTTGCAAATTATTCCTCTAATCAATCTCCATTTGATAATTATATGGAGAAAAGACATAAGCAGTGACTCAAACCAGGAGCAGAATGAATCATTTCTGCATCTCCTCACCTTCGTTCTTCTTCTCCTCTTTAATCTTGGCCAAGTCATCCTGATAGGTCGGTGCGCACTCTGCGGTGACGCCGTACAGACCGGCTCCTGGGCTGCGCAGAGCAGCCAGAGTCTGAGCTGAATCTCCAGTATCCACCGCCTCGTTAACGGCCTGGATGGACTGGGAGACTGTTGGAACAAAACCAAACGTCAAGTATTACAGTTTCCCCGACAAACAGAAATGCTGGAAAGCAGAGGGTGTGTAAATGTGTGTTTTCTTACAGAGCAAGGCCTCCTTTGTGTCTTGGTTTGCCTTCAAGATGGCGTCCTGGATCTCATCCAGCCACAGCACGGCGGATGGATCCTGAGTTTCCTAAAAGATAAAAAAAAATACACAAGCAAAATTATTTTAAAAAACCATGAAAACACAGAGCAACGATAAAACCAAGACAAATGGTTTTTAATGAATGTTAGCACAATGTCAATTAGAAAAAGACATCAGCAATAAAGTTTGGTCTTAATGCAGGAAAGCTACAAATATAATAATTCCTAATGAGAAATTTCAAAACCTAAAGGTAAAAAAATAAAAATCAATAAAATAAATAGAATTATCAGAGACAAAGAACACCCAAGAGTGAAACAGGGTGTCCCAGCAAAATTAGCACAATGTCAGAGCATAGCAAAGCTTTCTAGAGTGAAATGTAAAGCCACAAGCCAGCCTGGTCAAACTGGGTCAGCAGCAAGTCAATGATCAAACCACTTCAGCAAATCTTCAACAAAATGGCTAAAAAACAAGGAAATGAATCAAGATGTTGCAATGGCCTAGTCAAAGTCCAGACTAAAACACTGTGGTGGGTCCTTAAGAGAGTCAGACTCACTTCACTGTCCTTCAACATATCAGAGATGCACTGCAGAACAAAGTTACCATTCATATTACACTGCAAAAACAAAATCTTACCAAGTAGTTTTTTTTTTTTTTAATTTAATAGCTGCCTAATCACAGGGGTTACTTAATTTTTTTGAAATTGCATTTTTACATTTTGGTATTTATTTTCTAAAAGAATCCAGACAAAAAGCAAATACTGTGTATTTATTTTGTTTCTTATTTGATTCATCAGAACCCGCGCCCTTATTTTCCACTGCAGTGATGCCAACCCGCCACCAGATGGCACTCTTTCTGCATAAAAGTAGCTTTCTAGCGCTTCTCGGGTTGCAGCCTCCCCTTTCATACCTCCCACCCCTCAGGGAACATGGAAGGAGGCGAGTAGTAGAAGAAGAAGAAGCAGAAGAAGAAGACGTAGTATTGTGGGTAAAACTGACACCTGATCTTCATGTTTCAAGCAAAGGGGAGAAAAAAACGGGGCGTGTTGGTGGATAACATCTGTAGAAGCGTGCACAGAAAGTAGTAAACAAACCTGAGTGTAGATTAGTGTTTCTATGTTTGATTTGTAGTTTGGGGGAGGCGGTCGACAGGGTGTGGCGCCGGAGCAGGCAGGGGCCTGGCTGGAGGAGGAGGAGGAGGAGGAAGGCTGTGCAGCTTAAACTTTACAACTGCATCATGGAATAGAGGAAGTGAGAGCTTGGGGCGGTTGAGTTTTCTAGAGGTGCATTAGTTCAACTATCTAACATTTTATTCTGCACTTCATCTCACTTCCTTCGAATCCGCCTCTAGAACATTGTGCAGGATTTTTAATTTTTTTTTATTTTCTCAGTTACAGCAATAGGAGAAGTTGAGCTAAATAAGTTTATTGAGGTCGACACTGACTGAAGATCTTTTTCTGGACAAGTTAAAAGGAATAGAAATGCAAATCTTTCAGCGTCTACACTATAAAACAAAATCTTACCAGTAATTTTGGTCTGGTATCCAATACAATTATCTTAATACACTTGAAATTAGACAAAACTAACTTAGAAGCAACTTTTCAGCAAAATATAGGATGTTGTTTTAAGTAAATAGTTCCTTAATATTGATGAAAAAATTCTGGTTCCACTGGCAAGTTATTTAGCTCAAGACATTTTTCCCATGTTATAAGAGGAAAAATCTGTCAATGGAACAAGTATTAATTCATCAATACTAAAGTATTACTTAAAATGAATTATTCCACTTTTAAAGACACTTTTAATGCAAAGTTGCGTTAAAAGTCCATTCAAAGTGTCAACTTTGCGTTAAAAGTCTGATTATTTACCAAATGACACTTCAGTGTCGTAAACCAAGATCAACCCTGACCATCGTCTTCATGAGGCGTCTTGAGAAAACCGTGCCTTCAGTCAGAGGCCTCTTTAGATTCGCCGCATACAGACTGCTACAAGAGGTCTTTCCTGCCAGTAGTCATCCACTTCTACAATAACGCTTCAAGAATCTGAATTAATAAGAGTTATTTCCCTTTGGCATCAATAAAGTACTTTTGAATTGAATTAAACATTTATGAAGTCTCCTTCGTGTTCATGACAGGTATGTTTATAAGAGTCATGCCAGCCTGATGCACACCCCTTCAAATAAGCCGTTACCTTCTCTTGCCTTAAATAAACCAATAAATAAACCAATATATTGCAAGAACAGTCACTGCTTTATCTGTAATTCTGCAAAAACAATCATCTTCTGATGCGTTCCATATTGAATTAAAGGTTGGATTTATTTCCAGTAAAGGATAAATTTAAAACCTGAGTATGCGCTGAGTCTTTCCACCTTTGGCTGAACTGCTGCAGCAACAAAATAACGTGATAATAATCTGAATAGAAACATGATTGAGTTAGTCAGTGGATTCTGGGCTGGACTTCCTGCTGGTTATCTAGACGCAGCCTGCAGCGCTGAGCTAACTTCTGCTTCCCGCCTCGCTAACTCACAGCTCGAAGACCGCAGAGCTAATGAGACCAAAGCGAAGCGCAGCCCCGTGAAGTAAACACACTCGCTCCTTTGTTTCTCCAGCTCTCAGATCAGCTGCAAACACCAACTTCCAGTTTCACTTCATCTCAGCCACGAGGCTCGTCCTCCTGATGATCCCGCTCTCTCTCTCTCTCACTCGCCCGGGGAATACCTCATCAGAAAAACGACAGGAAGCTGCTGTAATCACCAACTCGGTCTTCAGACCAGGGATCGGTGTGTGTGCCCATGTAGCATTCAGCTTTCTGTCCTTTTAAGGCATAAAACAGCAGAGATCCTGCTTGTTCTTTCCTATGCATGTGAAATCAGCAGGAAAAACAGACTCATGTTGTTCCTTACCATCTCTGTGGAACCGTTTATAGCGTTTCCCCCCCAAAAATCTACACAAACATGTCACGCTAAAGTCACTTTTTTAGCCCCTAAACACATTTTGCTGTGTACTTTGAGTCTGTAGGAGGGCGGAAAAGTTTAATCAGTCCCTCCCGGTGCTTCGTTGATAGCTTTAGATTTATATTTGAGTCACATTTTTCAATTTGTTTATATTTCTGTCTTCCTTATTACAGTTTTTGAACAATTGGGTCAAACAGTTTCTGCTGCAGAACTGCTAAACAAGGTCATGGACTTCTGGCTCGCCAACACATGGAAGTGACATCACACTTCCAGGAGCTTTGTAGTTGAAAGTCATCTTAGTAGTCAACCAACTGTCTTGGCAGTTGCTATGACAACGATGAACAAGTCACAAGTTCAGACCTAGCTCTCACTTCGTTCCTGTCTAACTTATAGTCCATGGAAGAGTGACTTCCAGTTTGGCATTTTTTATTTTTAAGCAGTTGTGAGGCACAGTGGTGAAACCTAAAACTGTTGCTCAACAGGTTGTTGCTAGGCAACCAGAGGTTACTCAACAGGTTGTTGCTAGGCAACCAGAAGTTACTCAACAGGTTGTTGCTAGGTAACCAATGAGTGAGTTAGTTGATGCCATTAGCCTAGCCTAGCAGGCTGTGATAGGTTGAGGCTTTCCTCTGCCTACATCTCCCAGAATGCTGTGCAGTTCTGGATTGGACATTTCTATATATTTAATATCGGCGTACAGTTAGTATGGAAAGTATTCAGACCCCTTTAAATGTTTCACTCTTCGTTTCATTGCAGCTATTTGCTAAAAATCAAAAAGTTCATATTGTTTCTCGTGTTTCTCAGCATCCCATCTTAACAGAAATGTAGAAAGTTTAGCAAATTTATTAAAAAAAAGAAAAACTGAAATATCACAGGGTTATTGCGGTGCACATTGTTATTGATTTATTGCCCAGCCCACCTCAGATGAGACAAAATTCACTGGGAAACATGAACCACTAACACAATTAACATACAGCCAGAGGCACAATGGATAGTTTATATCAAAGCAGATCCATGTATTAAAACCCTGACCTGAATGCAGCTGGATATTGATCCTACAGATCCCCAGTAGCTGCAGGGACAACCATAATGTATTCCCTCAAAGTGTAAAATTTTAACTATGCACTACTTTGAGGCGGTTAATCACATAAAATCCCAGCAAACATTGAAGTTTAACGCCACAGCCAGACAAACTGTAAAAACCCTCCAGGCTGCATGACTCCCATCTTATGATTACATACATAACTAAATGGGCGGCGGCTCAGTTTCAACGCAAACTATGGACCAAAAGCAAAGCTGCAACAAACACCTGCATGCTTATCTGCAACTCGCCCTCTGCTTCCCCTCCCTACGAAGAACAAAACGGCCCAAATAAGGAGCTTCTGCTCACAACGTCACACACAAATGTGCCAAGCACGTGTTCTGCACGAAAGAACCACACTTTGTATGATAACCCAGGCAAATGAGCGGGGACAGCAGGAAGAGGTGCTCTCCAGGCAGACGGAGCTCCGGTCTGGTGTGTCTCAAGATTCACCAGCCGAGGAGGAACGTCTCCTGAGCCAAAGTTACACATCCTGTATGGATGTGGGACAGGAAGTGGAGGGGGCTGGGGAGTGACAAGACCATGACATCAGCATCTGCTGCAGGCCTGAGTCACATGGAGTCATCTGCACATTTACCAGCCCCACTGAACGCATTCACAGTAAATCAGCACATCCAAAGTTCTGTCACGAGTAGAGCTGGAACAATTAATCGAATTCATTGTGATTAATTGGACTCTACAGACTCAAACGGCTGTTTGCTGATCAGTAATTAACCCAAAAGTGTGCAGAAATCTGAACATTTTGAATTTATTAAAGAGCTTCTTTGTTTTCCTGAAGTGGCAGTTTTAGTTTTAAATAAACACACTTTGCTATTAAATTAATACAAAAAATACAACAGATTAGAAGTCAGCATTATTTTTAACTGTAAATCTATTATTTGTTGCAAATAATCAAGTGTCAACTAAAGAAATGCTATACTGATTCAGTTTAATAAATACATTTTTATTTTCTCATATAAGAAAGTTATTAAATTATGTTTATTTGCATGTTTTAATGTATTTCTAATGTGTAAAAAAAAAAACAGCTTGGGCGGCTAAATAAAAAAATCTGCAGAATGTGCCAATTTGATTTTATCTGATTATTTGCTATTCAGAATAATTAATTAACTTAATAAGTTGCAACCCTAATCATGAATGCAAACTGGTCAAAAACACCCACAATGCAATGCAAAACAAGCATTTTGGTCAAGGTTTTAATGTAAAGACGTTATTACACTTGAAATAAGACAAAACTAACTTAGAAGTAACATTTCAGGATCTTGTTTTAAGTAAATAATTCCTTAAAGTTGATGAAAAAGTTCTAATTTCACTGGCAGATTTTTTCTTTTATTTATTATTTATTATAATTGAAATAATCTGCCAGTGGAACTTGTACTTTTTCATCAACATTAAGGAATTTTTCACTCATTTTCTTACTGAGAAGTTACTTGTATTTGTAAGTTAGTCTTGTCTTATCCCAGGTCTTCAGCAGGGAAATTCAAATAAAGTTGTGTCAGCGTTAAAATGTGAGCAGCAGTAAAATAACGTAACTGTAGTCTGGCGGTTTGCATGAGCCGTTTGCATAAAGCTCACTAAGAAAACCTGAAGCTCACAAAGAAGCAAATGATGAAGAAAAACCCGTGAAGCTGGAGGTAACCTGAGCAGGGAGGCATTCAGAAAGTTCATTTTACAGGTTTCTCCACAGAGAGGAAAAATATTACTTAATATTCAGCATAATTTCATACGACTGCAAGCTGTAAGCTAAGAGCTCTTTGTGAATGTGAAGCTAACTTTTCATTTAGCCTAACAACCTTTAGGTTTCCCTAAATTAGCTTTTACAGATGAATTCATGTGGATGTTTTGTAAAACTTTCAGTTGAACAAAGTTCAACATCTTTGTTGAAGTTTTGGATATTGACTGTTGAGGATTCTTCACGTTTGTATTTGTGCTCTTATTTTGAAGTAGGTGAAGGCTGTTTACGCAGCAGCTCCGTTTCCTCTCCGGTTCTCTTTCATTTTTTAACTCCCAATAACTTTATTTAAAACAAGAAACATACAAGAACAAAATAAACCAGAAGAGATATAAATGTAAATACAATACAAATACAAACTAATTTATTTTGGGCCTTTTATACAGATTTAGCTAAAGAAATTGAAACATTTTCTGCCTTTTAGACAAGATAAGTTCAATTGGAGGCAGTGATGCATGTTTAACATCACTGGCTGCATTCAGTGAATATTACCAAGTATGTTTTAGTTTTCTTTTCTGTATGAAACCAACAATTACAATTAGGAACCCTTTTTTCTGACCCATTTACACCTGTGAGGCGGTTTAGCGAAGCTCAGTCAGCCTTTTTCAGAGATATTTTCTTAAACAAAAGACAGAAGAAACAGCATCTTAATCCCGATTCAAAAAGAAAACAAAGCTGCAACATTAGCCAGGCATAAATGCAACAAACTCCTCATGATGTGCTGCTGTTTGGGTAGAAGGTGCAGAAAAGATTTGCAGGTTTGTAACATGACTCCATGCAGGCTGCACAGAGATGCAAACATGTGCAGGTGGTGGAAACTGAAGCTTCCTGCATCATCTCAGCTACCAATTCCAAAACGCAGCTGTTAATATGATTAACCGTGCAACCAAGACACAGAAGGAAAACATATTTCTCCTGGGATAGAGCTTCACATGGAAAGACGTTTTTCTCTAAAGCAGTGATGCCAAAGCCAGACTCTTCTACAGCATATCGATACTCCACTTTTACTCAAGTAAAAATATTCCTAAAAGTGCATTTTTCCAACACGTTACTCAAGTAAATGTAACTGTTACTACCCGACTCTGAATACAAATCATGGCTCCCAAAGTGATAAAAATCACAGTTTATAGGAAGCAGGGAGGAACGTGGATTTGTTGCATCACAATATTTATCTCTACTATCTCAGAATGATATCCAGGCATCAAGCAGCTGAATCAATGTGACATTTATTTCTGCAGATTTTAATTAAAAAGTGGCATAAAAAGCAAACTGAGCTGCAAAAATCTACGAGGTAGGAAACCAAAACACTGTTTTCCAACTGTTAGTTTAAAAAGCTGGTATTTAACCAAGCTCTCACATACACTGCAAAAACAAAAAACTAGTCAAAAATAATTGGCATGATTTTATGTCAGCTGTAGAAAGCTCTTTAAAAATAGCTATTAACTGCACCAACATGACATTTCTAGAGAAAATATATTGGCACACTTGGAAAAAGACTAAACTAAGTAACTTTTCAGAGATCGGAGCTTTTTAAACACAATTCCTTAATATTGATGAAATATTACTAACTGCAGTGGCAGATTATTTCACTTATAACATTTTTCTATAAGTGAAATAATCTGAACTAGAACTTTTTTATTTTGTTTAACAAATTATTGACTTAAAAAAGCTCCTATATCTTGCTGAACATGTAGTTTAGTATTTTTTTTTCTAGGGTACTGAGATATTTGCAGTAGCCCAAAAATGCTTTGCAAGATTTTGTGTTTTTGCAGTGTTCCAACTTGGCTCTTATATTTTGTAACAAACTGACTCATTCCTCATCTGTAGGAGGCTTTTCAAGTCTGAATGATTCATAAATCAGACTTACTGGTGGCTAAAACAAAAAAAAAGATTTAAATTTTAGAAGAAAGCACGTTAAGAGCTGCAGAGAAGCTCCAGTGTTGGAGAAGTGAACGATTGACTGAGGCTGGCTGGGAGCGGCGCCTCCTCCTGCCATCTGCAGGAAGCTGTGTCTGACTTACATGAGCCTTCTCTCTGCGGGCCTCCAGCAGCTTGTCATGGTAGTGCTGAGCGATGGACGGGTCCACATCTGTGAGTTTGGCGGACGGGTTCTGCAGCATGTCCAGGGTCTTCATGGGGTCGCCTTCGTCCAGCGCCTCGTTGATCTGTCCAATGGCAGCAATTCCTGCATGGACAAAGAAAACGCTTTACTACAACAGACTGAGCTACTCATTATTTATCCTCATCAGCTTGTTGATGTTATTAAAGGGGACAAAAACATCAATACTGAAAATGATTTTGTGCAAAACCAACAAAAAAAACATGTAATGACCAAGTATAGACCAGTGGTGTCCAAAGTGTGGCCCGGGGGCCATTTGAGGCACTTGGGCTGATTTTTGCGGCCCCCCAACTATCAATCTAGAATGATGCAAATTTGACCCGTCCAGACTTTTACTTGTAATTTGTAATTTTCTTCCAGTGGAAAATATTAATTTGCCTTTTATGAAAAGCAGAAAGTTTATTCTGAAAAGTCGACTTTGCTTTGCTTTTATCTGATTGGCTAAATATAGAAAAGCTTTTGAAAGAAAGTGAGCCAAAAGCTGTTCCTAAACTGATAATAAATGTGTTCAATCGACCCAAAAAAATGCAAAATCCTTTCCAAGTTTTGGATCTACATTAGACAAAATCTCTCCTCTACAATATGAAAAAAATTAAAAATAAAATTATATTTTCTCCATTTTAGATTTTTATGTTTTTGGCCTGCAAAGACTTTTGACTCGATAATTTGGGCCCTCGTTGCAAAACGTTTGGACCCATCCTAACCTGTTCAAGGAATCAATAGGTCACCTTTAGGTAGATTGGCTGACCAGTTAGAGGTCTAGTCAAAGTTTTGCTGGTGTGAGCCTTACGTTCGTGCTCCTCCTGCACGGCCAGGTTGACCTGGTCGATGCAGGCCTGGATGTCGTTCCAGGTCAGATATTTGCTCCCCTCCTCTTTGGCTGCAGCTTTCAGGCGCATCAGCTCGTCCATGTACCTGAGCAGCAGAGGAAACAAAAACACGTCAACCGTCTGTAAACGTCTGACTGGAAACGACCCGGCTGCGTGACCTTTGACCCTGACCTCTGTGCGTACTCCTCCTCCACATTGCTGAGCCCGGTGACGGAGCTGGCCAGCTGCCTCCACAGGGCGGCCCGGTCTCCCACCTCCAGCGCCTCGTTCATCAGAACCACGGCGGACAGCATCTCCACGGCAACCAGCAGCTCAGGGTGGGTCAGGGAGCCCTGCAGGACGGGACGCGGCGAAAAGTCACATGACTGATGATGTCATCACTGGAAATATGTTACAGTTTGAGAGATTCATCAATTTTGGATGGATGGATGGATGGATGGATGGATGGATGGATGGATGGATGGATGGATGGATGGATGGAT